TACAAGTAACCCCTTGCAAGCTGGCAGAATAGCTGACACTGCTTGCTCAGCATGGAAAAGCTTCTGGGTTTGATCCCCCACATCATAAACAACAACAAATCACGCTTTATATGTTGGGGGCTTTGGATCTGTGATTAGTAACAACAGAAGTGAGCTGGGTGTGGTGGCACACGCCTGTGATCCCAGCACTTGGGAGGCTGAGGCAGGAGGATTGCCCAGAGTTTGAGGCCAGCCTGGGCTATATAGCAAGACCCTGTCTCAAAAAAACCGAAAACTGCCAGGAATTTAGCTCAGCGGTGCTGAGCCTGCCTGGCAAGTGCAAGGTCCTGAGTTTGATCCCTGGTATCAGGGAAAAAACCCAAACAAACCCAGAAACAAACAAACAACCCCCTGCCCAACATCAACAAAAACAACTGGAGTCTATTGGAGCCTACTTCTTTAGAGTTGGTACTGGGTTCTGGACTGTCAGTCCCTCCTCCCACCCTGCCCCGATAATTTCTGCTTTTACTGATTGGGTATAATCAAAGGGAAGTGACAGTGCTTAAGGATATGAATTATTGACCTAAAATAATTTCATATGCTTAACATTAGCAACAGACGGCACTCTTAAACACTTCTTAAAATTCTGGAAAATTTTAACATCTTGCCTCTCTTTTGGTATAAGCAACATATCTCTTACCAAGCTTGAATTATTTATAGACTAGTCATCACTTGCCCATGGTATTTTTCTTATTGCAAATAACAAATCTGCTCCTCATGTTTCTCAATTACTCTAACGATAGTAGGCACTCTGGTAAACCATCTGGTCTAGAGGATCCCAGAAAGCCATAAAAGACAGGATCCCTTTGGCTAAGTAGAAAATGCCTTCGGGAGAATCTTGACCAATAACCCTCCCAGTCCTAGAGTGGGACATTACTAAGGAGACATTTTTGCCCTGTTCTCTCAAGTTCAGAGCACAGTGTTTTATAGACAAGGTACTGCTGAACACTAATAAAAACTGGACTGAAAAAGTGTACATGCACACTGGAGAGCAAAGGATTCCACAACTGACACAGTATAAGTGAGTTTTCTCAGCGCTCTCAAAGTCCAAGTTCCTCCTCGACTGTAATCTCACACTGTAGGTAAAACGTGTCCTTACTTTTCACTAATCTTACCTATCTTTTCCTTTTCTTTACCTATCTTTTCTCTACCTTTCTAAAGGTAGGTGGAGGGGCAAACTGCTTTCAAATTTTAAAGGCCTCTGGGCAGGGCTGACAGGCCTGGGGATTTAGCTCAGTGGTTCCCGTTGCCTACCTCTTAAGAGCAAGGTCTGGAGTTCGATCCCCGGTACCAAAAAAGAACATGACAGGCCAGGCATGGTGGAATTCCAGCACTGGGGAGGCTGAGGCAGGAGAATGGCTGTGGGTTTGAAGCTAGCCTGGACTACATGGCAAGACCTTTTCTCAAAAAAACAAAAACAAAACAAAACAAAACAAAGAGAACATGACAGCATTTTCTTAGGTGCATAGATGGGTGGCTGATCTGGGAAACAGATCCACTTTGGAATTTATGGCTGAATTAACCCTGTGGTGTGTGTGAAATAGTTTTTCAGGGTCCTAAAATTAGCATAGCTTTTTGTTTTTTTCTATTTTTTTGGTACCGGGGATCAAACTCGGGACCTTGCACTTGTGAGGCAGGCGGCGGAACCACTGGGCTAAATCCCCGGCCCTAGCATAGCTTTTCTGGGGGGGAAAGGGGGAGGTATATTTGGGCTGAACCCAGGCCCTTTGCACTGAACTACCTCTCTAGCCCGTTTTGTTGGTCTTTTGTGTGTGTGACAGTCTCACTAAATCAGACTAGGCTTAAACTCGGAGTCCTCTTAGCCTCCCACACTCCTGGGATTACAGGTGTGGACCTCAAACCCAGAGTCACATAACACATCCTAAACATATTCTACAAGTCTGGAATCTTTAGGATGTCCAAAGTTACTCGTACCCCTGCTCTGGGACTAAACCCACCTCCCTCTTCTTGGAGGCAGGTCTCCTTGGCAGTTGCTGGGCACACTTTATAAAGGTCAGCAGCTGACCCCCTGCCACGTATCCAACACTGCCTGGCACTGTACATCCCACACTAAAACTCGGTTCTCACCAGGAAAGCCTGTGCACCTAACACTCTTCTTCACACAACTCTGCACAGTTCTCTTCGCCTCCGTCCACTCTCCAATTATTATGCGTATGATTTCTTTGGCGAGCTACCTGCTTAGAGACCACGACCTGTCACTTTAGCCTTTTAATATCACAGCCTCGGTTTTTCATCCTTCTCTATAGGGAGGGATAAACCCATGTCTTTCTTTTCTCTACCTCACGTATTACCTTAGCTGGCACTGGAAACGGGAAGTCAGGACCAAAGGTTCCCGAGAATCTAAGTCGGCTCCAGAGGGCCAGAGCGCCCTGGGCGGAGTAAACAGGAAACCACCGATCCCTTTCAGGAAATGACCTGGCGTAGGGGATCCAAAGGTGCCGCGGATTTCCCCCGTTTTCCTGCAGCTCCCATTACACTCATTTCCGGGTTTCAATCGATGTAGTCCTTCCTGACAATAACACAGCCCGGCTGGCTCTCCCCGTCCCACCCTAGACTTCGTCCCTGAGCGTGGCCAATAGGCCTGTCCCTTTAGTGACCATCTTTCGGTCCGGTTTTACGTCACTGTCATCCTTAGCCAATCATCAGCTGGGGTAGGGGGTACCAAAATAATCTTCACTTCCTCCCAAATGGCCACTCTCGCCTGCGTAACCCTGTGATGGATGACCTAAGCAACCAATCAGAGAGCAAGGTTGGGCCCAGCCCACCGCTAAGCACAGCCAGTTAAAATGAAGGTGGGGGCATCGGGGCGGGGAATGGAAAACTTGCCCCTCGTTTGGACAGGATTTGAAGAGGTGCCTCCGGAACCAGCGAAGTTGCAACTTTCTCCTGGTTGTCGTTGTATCCCTTCCCGAATATCGCTCGGGGCCAGCCAGCTCTGCCCCACCTCGACCCCGCCCCAAGATGGGGCCCAGGCCTCAGATGGGCCCAGGGCTCACATTCCACCCCACAGACATTTCAGGGGAGCTCATCATCCCCATCCCTTAAGTCCCCCAGAAGGACCCAGGCCCGAGGCTGGAGCTTCGCCCACCGCCGCCCAGCCGGCAGCGCGCGGCTACCGAGACCCTCCGCGCCGGCCCCAGTCTTTCCATTCAGCGCGCCTCCCCTCCCAGCTCCACGTTCGGGGCCGCGGCTGACACGGGGGTGGGAGGAGCCACCCCTGCTCCGCGCGGGGAGGGCGAGGCTTCTTAAGGTGGCACGGCAGCTGGCGGGGCCTCCCTTTCCCAGCCTCTTTCTGCATGGTTTTCTGTCCCTGGTCCCAGAGCCTTGGTTCCAGTCTTGTTTTTTAGGGAATTAATCAGATCGGGCAGAGGATATAAAATGAACGTGGAAAACTTCAAATAATAAATAGCTCCCGCTGGCGTGCACCACGCCTGTAATCCCAGCACTCGGGAGGCTGAGGCAGGAGGATCACCGCGAGTTCAAGGCCAGCCTGAACTACACAGCGAGACCCTGTCTCCAAAAAAAATAAAACTACTCATGTAGGCTACGTGTGCATTTCGTCAACATCCCGAAGTGTTAGTTTCCCACCTGTAAGAGGTATAGGACCAGTGCTTTAAAGATTGCTGCAAGAATCCTCAAATGTGGTAACACTTGTGAAGTGCTCAGCCTTAACGTCTGATGCATTATAAACGTCGTGTTATTCTATGTGCACATGACTTAGGTTAGAGCAGCCTACGTCGGCCAGAAGAGAAGTCTTTACCGTCTAAAGGTGAATCGTAATCATCAAGCGCTAGTCCTGAGAATGTAGCTTTTCGAGCAATTAAAATATGAAATGAAAGGTCTTTTTTGCCTTCATGTTATTTTATGTGAGAGAAAATAAGTAGTTTGAGAACAGCTGCGTTAGCAGAGGATGAAATACTTAGTATCTGCGGTTGGGGCGGGAGGCTCCGTCTCTGGAGAGGGCTCCGCAGGGCCTGTGCGTGAGAACCCTTCACTCTGGCCTTGGGACAAGGTGTCTTCCAAGTGAACTAAACAACAGGCATATCCTGTCCACTGTGCACACCGCACCGTTAGAAAAGCTACTTTGGGGCCGGGGATTTAGCTCAGTGGTTTCGCCGCCTGCTGCGCAAGCTCAAGGACCCAAGTTCGATCCCAGGTACCGAAAAAAAAAAAAGAAAAAGAAAAAAAGAAAAGCCGTTTTTCTCCTGCTTACCTCGCCTGAGGCTGCCTGGCCTGTTGGGGAGCAGCCCGAGCATCCGAGTCCTCTGTGTGCTGGCCAAGGGCCTGGCACAGGCGTGCAGAGCTGGCGTAGGGAGGGGAAGAGACCTTTCACGCCCCTCGAGAACAGGTCCTGAACTGCAGGATGCTCTCGGGGACCATGGTAACTTCGCCCCAATGCCCAGGATCCTTTATGAACCTGATGGGAGAGGAGAAGCCCATCCACACCATCTCTGAGAAAGCAGAGGTTGCCCATCCGCAGAGAGGACGCTGCAGATCCGAGCTGCGGACCGGCGCCGCGCCTCCTTAACCTGCGCCCGGAGGCGGTGGCGGAGGCGGTGGCGGCGGCGGCGGCGGCGGGGGCGGGGCGCGGCGCGGAGCCGGGGCGGAGCCGGGGCCTGCAGCGGAGCCGAGCGGAGCCAGACCTAGCCGATACCCGACCCGCGCGTCCACTTCTGGCTCCCGGGCCGGCCGGAGCCGAGCGGTGGCAGCGCAGGGAGCCCCGGGCTCCTAGGGCGGCGGCGCAGGCAGGGCCTCGAGGGGGCGCTGCAGCGCGGGAGCCGGCTCGGAGTCGGCGCCGCGGCCTCCGGAGTCCGCTGCCCAGGCCGACGCGGAGAGCGCGGGGAGCCGAGGACCCCGCCCCGGGCGCCCGAGCGGAGGCGGGAGCGGGGCCGGCGCAGCCTGGGCCGGGCGCAGGGGACGCGCCTGTCCTTCCCAGAGGCGACGGGACCCCGTCGCGGCTCGGGAGGCGACCCAGAAGTAGAGGTGCTCCTTCCTCGAGGAAGCCGCCGCCCTCCACACTCGCGCCGCGGACACTTGGGGACCCCGGAGGCGGAGAGGAGGTGTCCGGCCGCGGGGTGGGCGCCCCGGCCCCGGCACTCACTGAGCGGGGCGTCCTGACGCGCGGGAGCCAGACCGCTCCCTCCACTTCCCCGGGCCCAGACAGCGGACCGGGGCCGAGCCCCGCCGCCTGGGGCTCCTGCAGACCGAAAGCGCCCGCCTCCCGCGGGAGACCCAGCTTGGGGGGGAGGGGAGAGGCTCCTCCCCTCCCCAGGGCGGCAGGCGGGGTGTGGGGGCCGCGCCACCTCCCCCAGGTAGGACCTCCTTCTCCCCCGCCGCCGCCTCCCTCGGCTCCCCGGGCGAGGGGGACCCAGCTCTGCTCGCCCGCCTGGGAGGCTCAGCCCGGTACCGGAAGAGCCACCGAGGATGAGACCGGTCACCTTCCTCTGAGGAGGGGACGCCCTCCAGCCCCTGACTCCAGGACCTGGCACTTTCCTCCCTGTGCCGGGAGAAACTTGGAGACAGGTTAGTGCTCCCCCTCCTCTCTTTGGACCTGGAGACACCGGTGGGTCTCAGTGGGTCTGGGTTTCCGCGTTGGGGACGGCAGTGAGTGATAACTCAGTCTTCTGGGAAATGTGCTCAGAAGCAGCGTCTGGACTCGAACCCATGTCTTGCTGCAGAGACTGAGAAACGGGTTTGGAGTGTTTGGAGTCTGACAGGCGCGCTTCGTGTGAGGCCCGTATGGAAGTGGGTGTTTCTTGTAGAGGGTAGATGACAGTTTCCAGAACTCCAGGCGTCCTATGTAGTAAAGACGCCAGAACACACTGACACCACAGCGCCCTCCATCCATGGCCTTTTCACGTAGCGCTGCCCTCACCAAAGTCCTGGTGTCGCCCAGTGTCCTAGGGCACTCTGGAGAAGTCAGCATGGTGTCCACCAGCGGTGTCCTCTCCAGCCCACTGAGATTATTGTCCCCTTGACGAGCAAGGGAAGCAGTCTGTCCCCACCGGCCTGCAGTGGACACGGAGACTGCTTCTGCTGCCTGACATTTCCTTTCCTGGCTGGATGTGTGCCTGGCCCCACAAGACCCAGAGCTGAGAATTTGAATCCCTCGTGGCCTCAGTGAGGCTGGCCAGGGAAATGTCCACTCCTGGGTTGAAGCTTTTCCTAATACTGGGTCTGCCTGCCCCCTACACTCCTCCTGTCAGTTTCTTAGGAAAATCCAGGTCCCAGGTGGAAGGCAGGAGCTTGGCTGCATGCTTCCAGCCTTCCATCCTGATAAGTTGACACAGGGACACTGGATGCCGAGGAGTTTACTAGTGCTTCCTTCCAGAGAAGCACCCCCTGATCTCCTTGGCTGCCTTCCTGCTGCTTGTTCAGTTCTGGGTCCTTGGAAACTTGGATTTAGGTTTCCCCTCCTAAGACAGGGAATCGTCAAAGTTCAGAGTCTTCAGGAAAGGCAAGAAAAAAGTGGCGGGAGGGTTCCTGGCTGAGCTGGGCTGTCTGCCCTTCAGCCCAAGGTCGCCCGCTGGGTACCTGCTTTCCTGCCTCCTAGTAGGGAGGGGTTTTGTCTTGGCAAGGAGTGCCACACCCCAGAGCAAGCCCACGGGACAGCTTCGTGTTCCCACTCCTGTGTCTGGGCTGCCCGATCCCTAAGTCTGTGCACTTAGTCCTGGCAGACACCTTCTGCTGGTGGTGAAAGGGACACGGTTACCCTCACAGATGTGCCCACCGAGCTGTAGAACAAGCGTGTTTGCTTCTTCATCGAGGTGAGTGTGGCCTGGCTCTGTGTCTGGAGTGAAAGGATGTTCGTGAGGAGACAGGTCATCTTTGCGTGTCAGACCGTACTCCAGGACCTTGGGTTGTGTTTCTGGTCACCGTCTGGGAGGACCTGGAGGAGGTGGTACCCAGGGTGCTGGCCGGCAGGAGCCCTCAGCCCAAGTGGAGGTGGCCCAGTCTCAGGCTGGGACTGCTGCTTCTAGGACCAGCATGCAGCCTCCTTGATAACCCTTCTGATCTCAGGAGGATCCTGGACTCCTAAGTCTAGAACTGCTTCCCTTACTTTTAAAAGGATTGGTTCTGGTGGAACCACAGCCTGTTTCTTACAAAAGCACTTAGCAGAGGCTGGAGTGCAACTTGTGGAGGGCTCAGGGCAAGCTGTGCCGTGACAGCTCCGGGTACACTGCGGCTGACCGCCCACCTAGCCCACCTGGTCGGCTCTGCTGAGTGTTGCTGGCTCTCTTTGCCTCAGAGGAGGCCACCAAAAACAGGAGGCTATCAAGCAGGGTTGACTGTGATTTCTAGACCTCATCGTATGGCCACACCTAGTTGCCCAGAGAGGCAAGAGGTGATGTTGCCCCATTCCCTCATCCTTGGGGTTTTCTAGATCTTAACATGAATAATACAATCTCCAAAGGAAAGGTTTGAGATTCTGACATCCTGAAAACCTTCGCAAACTCAGTACAGGTTTTGCAACACAAATCGTTGTAGGCTTGCTGCTTCTAGTCTGACCCTTAAAGTCTCAGTTTTTTGAGTTTTAATTTCTAATGCTCTGTATTTCTCTCTCTCTCTCTGGTGCTGGGGATTACTGAATCCAAGGCTGTGCACGCGTACTTAACACTGTACTACCGAGCCACACCCACAGCCCCCTACATATTCTTTTTCCCCATTCAAAATTAATAGCTACCCATAGGTGACACTTACTAAGTGCTAGTAAGTACGATCCTCACAAACCCTCACAGGCAGTTACCATCTGTATTTTGTGGACAAAGCGAAGATGCGGAGGGGTGAGGTGCCTTGCCGGCATGTGCGGGGTCAGGAGGTGGCGGGGCTGGGAGGACTTTGAATGCTTGGCCGCTGCCAGTTAGTTTTGGCCTTGGGTGCAGGACAGGACGTTAGTGCTAACACCTGACGGGGCACTGCCCAGAGGGCGGCTACGAGCCTGGCTGTCCCGATAATGGAAGGAAACTGGCGATGGTTTGGGGTCTCTCAGCCTCCACCAGGGCTGGTCTTTCCATCCCACAGTGTCTGTCTGCTGCTTTTCTCTGCCTTCCTTGGCTCTGCCGCCTTCCTTCGTTAAGGCCTGTGCTGGGAGGAGCCTGCCCGCTGGCTGCCTCTCCAGGGTGCTGTGGGTATTTCCTTCTGGGCTTGCAGCGTGCACGCAGGAATGTGGCCTGACTCAGGTTCTGCACAAGCCGGTGGTGCGAGGCCCACCTGGAGAGAGGTCAGGGAACTAGGTGGATTGGACTGAGAAGGGGAGCTACCTCTTGTTTACCTTTCTAATAATAGCCCGAAGATTAGCCTTGTGCCATTATTTTGGGCAGCATGGAATTCGTGGCAGCCACTGGCTCCTTAGGCTCCATTCCCTCTCTTCCAGGGTGAAGCTTTGGCAGGGCTATGACTTCATTTACTGACGGGGAAACTGAGGCATGAAGACTTCAGGGAGCAGGGATGGTTAGGGACAGGTCGTGAGTGGGCAGTGCGGCTGGGAATAGAACCACGGAACTTGAGCCCCCAAGTTCTCTGCCCTAGGCCGCTCCTTGAGAATGGGGAAGTACATGCAGGTCTGAGGAAGGGCCAGGCTGGGCTGAAGGAGGCTGTGCTGGGAGCTGGGACCAGCCGTCGGGCCTCTGGAGGCTGGCAAGATCCGATCCATCCTGATAGCGGAGTCCTGTCGTGGAGGATAGTGGAGAAGGGTTAAATGTAACCATGGTGTCCTGCCCTGGGGCTGGGTAAGGGTCAGGCAAGGCACAGAACAGAGCATAGCACGGAGGGCTCGATGGCGACCCGCGTGTGCCAGGTCCACGCTCATGCCCGGGTCCAGGGTTCACAGGGGTGCAGGTCAGCTGAAGATCTGTGAGCTTAAGCTGGCATTTCCCAGGGCCCTGCAGCAGGAGATAACGGGGCCAAGGAGCCTAGTGTGGTGGTGCTCGCCTGTAGTGCCAGCTACTCAGGAGGCTGAGGCAAGACTTTCACTTGCCTTCAAGGCCAGCCTGAGCAACACAGCAAGACCCTGGCTCTAAAGAAAGAGAAAGAACGGAGGGCTCTATGGAGAAACGGCTGGTGGGCGTGATTCGGCTCAGCTGCGGAGACCTGGCGTGAGCTCCCCCCCACTGCCAGGGTCTGGGGTGCTTTGATTTAGCGGAGCCCTAGAAGGTGTCTGTCTTCGCGGAATGATAGGTGTCCCTCGCATTTTCCAAGTTTCCATGGTTTCAGCACAGTGGAGGGAGTGGGATAAGAGGATGGTGGGGAGAGGAGCTGAGGCTGAAGGGGAAACCTTTCGCGCTATTTATAAGCCGGGCTGCTTCCTCCTGACCCACGGCTCTGTGACCGCAGCTGTCCCCTGCTGCCCAGCCCCAGGCACTGGGGTGTTCCCTCCAGCAAGTGGCCTGGCATGTTGCTGGCTGGGAGCTTGGGGGTGGGTGCATGTGTGGACGGCGGGTGTGCAAAGCTGGGACCTGGGGCAGGGACAGGGTAGTGGGTACGCTCCCAGCTCCCGACAGAACTGCAGCCTAGCGTGCAAAGTGTGTCCTGGCCCGGAGAGGGGGGTGCATCTGGGACCGAGCTTTCACCTGCCAATTGTGCACGTGGACGTCTGTGTCCGCACACTCATCTGCTGTGGATTTAGACATCACGTGCGTGCACAGGACACTTCCGTGCAGCCTGCCCTGGCTCGCGGCGCCGTGCCCTCCCTGGTGGGCCCGAGGAAGAAATGCTGCTGGAATCTGGCAGCTATGCGGGCACAAACCTGTCAGGCAGCAAGTGGTCGGGGGCTGCTGGCATCAGATTGAGTGCCAAGTGGCCCCGATGGCTCCGCCATCAGCTGTCACCCCCCCCCCCACGGTGCCACCCTGGCTGCACCTTGCTGGCAGCGAGAGCGCCGGGCATTGGGTTGGCAGCGGGGCCTGCAGTCCTTGGGCGTGGGCGGCTAGCAGCTAGGAGGTGCTTGGAGGTGCAGCTAGCCGGTGCCTAGCCGGGAAGGAGGGAGCAGGGCGGGAAGGGGAGCCAGCCTGCCCGAAGTGGCTATTTTCTATTTTTAGCCGAGCTATCGGACAGTCACGGTGAGCGCACAGCTGGGTGTCTCCTGGCCCGCAGGAGCGGTGGGAGGGCTCTGCATGCGACTCCTTCCTGGTGCGGTGTCTGTGGGCGGGAGCTTCAAAGGTGTGAGCGCAGCTGCGCCCTGGGGACTGTCTTCAGTGGGCTGGCGGCCTTCGGTAATGTACGCCGCGTAGCTGGTTGCATGTTGGGTTGTGGGCTATGCTGTTTACGTATCGGTTTTAGATCGTCCTTTGCTGGTTGTCTACTTTATGCTCGGATGGGTCTGTGGGCCTCCCAAGCCCACGTGAGTGGGGTTGAAAGACTGAGCGCGCTCCTAGTGTATCCCACCTGAAGCAGCGTTGGCCTGGGCTTCCTTGGCGTGGGTGTGTTTACTCCTGCTGGTGTTTTGTCCACGTGTCTACCTACCTGTGGATGTGCTACAGAAATATAACACATCAGGTAATTGGAGAGTGGACTGCAGCTAGAGACCTACCTGCTCTCTAAGTGAGGTTTTTTCTTGAAACTTACTCCTGCAGAGTTTTAAAATACCGTTTCTTAGGGCTCTCCCAAGCAAGGGCAACTGAGGGGTGCGGTTTGATCTCGGCCCTGCACTTGGGGGACACGAGCAGTCGTGCTCCGCACTGGGATGTGGCATAAGTGGCAGTCCGCTCTCGGCCTGGTGCCACAGCTGCTGGAGGATTCTTTTTTTATTTTTTTTTGTACCAGAGATCGAACTCTGGACTTTGCGCTTGTGAGACAGACAGGTGACGGTGCTGGAGGATTCTTGAACACTGGTCGAGAGCCATCCCCGCAGGGCATTTTCTTGGGAAATATAGTGGGAAGAAACTGCTTCCCTTAAACATTAGGAACTGGGCATCTCTCTCTTTTTTTTTTTCCTTCAGTACTGAGGATTGGACCCAGGGCCTTTGCACTGAGCTACAGCTCTAGCCCTTTGCATTTTTTGAGACAGGGTCTTGCTAAGTTGCCCAGGCTGGGCTTCAGCTTGGGATTGTGATCCTCCTGCCTCAGCCTCCCAGAGTGGTGGAATTACAGGTGTGCACCACTCATCTGGCAGGAATCGGGAATCTCTTGCCCCCAGTAGCCAGGGGGAATGCTTGTCTACTTTCTACCCCACTTTGTTGTCTTCTCTGCAGAGCCCAGAAGTACCATGGCTTCCGACCTGGAGAGTAGCCTCACCTCCATAGACTGGCTCCCCCAGCTCACCCTGCGGGCCACCATCGAGAAGCTGGGGAGCGCCTCACAGGCAGGGCCTCCAGGGGGCAACCGAAAGTGTTCCCCGGGCTCACCCACAGATCCTAATGCCACCCTGAGCAAAGATGAGGCTGCCGTCCACCAGGATGGCAAACCACGATACAGCTATGCCACCCTCATCACCTACGCCATCAACTCGTCCCCAGCCAAGAAGATGACCCTGAGTGAGATCTACCGCTGGATCTGCGACAACTTCCCCTACTACAAGAATGCGGGCATCGGCTGGAAGGTGGGGCCACCCTGCAACAACCCAAGTCTCGGTCTCTGACAACTCTTCTCTCTACCTTTGTTTCTTCCTACAGCCTGGTCCAGGTCACTCTGCCTTGTCTTAGGGATGTGTAAACTTAAAATTTCATGTCTTAGTTTTTTAAAAGTTGAACAGTTTTCATCAGGTCTATCAGTGATGCTGAGCTATTAAGTTTAGTTGTGGGGATGGCAGGATGCTGTTGATCACGACCCCTCTTATCTTACAACTCCTCACAAAGGGGACTCTTTCATTTCACAAGTATTTATTGCCACTTTATTATGTTCAACTCACAGCGCCAGGCATGATCTAGTCCCTTGCTTCCAGAGGCAGGATGCTCATCAAATTTCCATAGCATTATTGCACACAGTCAGCATCTTTTGCAAAACTGTATACCAAGAAAAAAAATACATAATTAAGTCCTTTACCGACACCTGGTCTGCCAGGCAAGTAATGAGGGGTTAGGTTATTTGGCTCAAGTTGAAGGAAGAAGGGCTACTCTTCCAAGCAAAGCAGGAAGGCTGATGTTCTCACTCTTTCAGAGCACCAGCTCATTTGCCAGTTGTGGAGAGGCAGGGGGACTCCACTGTGGTTTTCCCACTCTGTAGACCACCAGCTGACATACAGACCAGGTGATGCAGTGCAGTCTGTCAGAGGCAGCCGCTTCCCTCGGTGAACGTGGCCCTGCTGCACTGCAGCCTCTGGCCACACCTTGTCCAATACTGTTTCTGTCCTCCATCCTCCAGGGTGACCATTCGCCAGGCCACTGGGATCATGGTTGTGATTTGTGCCTGTTTCACTCCAGATTTATATTTTCTTCTAATTCACTTAAATAAGTTTAAAAACATTGTCCTTTTGCTGTAGACGGGGAAGGCTGAGGAACTGAGCAGATGGTGATGTGAAGCATTTATATACCTGGTGTCAGTTAGAGGCAACGGTTTGAAAGCTGTATATCAGCTCTGCAAAAACACTGATAATCACATTTATAGCCATTGCCTCTTATAAATTTAATTGCTGCATTTTTCTTGTCCATTGTCCTGATTTATCATTTTTCATTTTTTTTTTTGTACTGGGGACTGAAACCCAAGGCCTTCGCACTGAGCTATGTCCCCAGCCCCCCCTTTTTTTGGTACTGGGGATCAAATTCCAATCCTTGCGCTTTTGAGCCAGGCAGGAGAACCACTGAGCTAAATTCCTGGCCCAACCAGCCCTTTTTTATTTTGAGTCAGGAGTTGCCCAGGCTGGGCTCCGTCCTCTCACTTCGGTCTCCCAGAGTGCTGGTGTCACAGGTGCACACCCCCATGCCTGGCTTTGTTGCCCTTGATTTCCCATACATAATTTCTGCCATTTATATAGTAAGAGAGGCCAGATTTACCCGATGCTTCAACTTTATTGTGCAGTATGTTGGAGCACTTGTAAATGTTTGCACAATGCTCACATCTCACTTGCTCCTCTGTTTCCCCAGAATTCCATTCGGCACAACCTTTCTCTCAATAAGTGTTTCCGGAAGGTGCCCAGACCTCGGGATGACCCTGGGAAGGTGAGCCCTGGCTGTACGAATCCGAATCCGAGGAGCAGGACGGAGAGTGAAGCAGTTGAGGGCCAGAGCCCGTGACTGCTTTAATTACCCCAAAGAGGAAATCATATTAATTAGAGAAGCATCTTTATTTTTCCTCAGAGGAAAAGCTTGGTTGTGAAGCTTGTGGGGCCCCAGTTGGTGACTAAGGAAGATTGTGAAATCTTTTTTGAAAAAATTTTTAATATTAAAATCTTTTTTTTTTTAAAGAGAAATGTTTATGGTAAATTTGATTTTGAGGCCTCTTTTCTTCTGTGGCACTCTCTTTTTCTAGATGTAAAAGGTTGACTTCATAAACTTTATAGGAATTTTTCTGTAGAAAAATACCTGGGTTTTACCACAAAGGAAGAAGGGATGGAGCAGCATCCTCTTTATTGGACAGATATGAATGCCAGGGTCCAGAGATCTGGCTCAGGTCGCAAGGGAAGGGAAGGACTGGCTCTGCACAGTCTTAGCTCTCTGAACTAGGTTCCACTGTGCTCGGAAGAACCGAGGCTGTCTTTGCATGTAGGAGTGGGCCTGGCACACTCAGGCAGCTTACAGGACAAACTGATGCCTCAGTGACACCCAGGACCCTCAAGAGCCAGTGTAGATGGCCAGCCCTCTCTTCTCAGCCCTCTATCTGCCTCTCTCTATTTATTTTGTGATTCTGGGCAAGGACCAGGGCTTGACACATGCTAGGCAAGCACGCTACCACTGTTTCTTAACATGACTGTATTATCATGTGAAAATTCTGCTACATGTCTGTTTCCAAGATGAGAACTTCTAGGTGATGATTTTGTTCTCAGTGGGCCTCGGTTCTCCTTGCAGGGCTCTTACTGGACAATCGACACGTGCCCTGACATTTCCCGGAAGAGGAGGCACCCTCCGGATGATGACGTGAGTCTCCCCCACCTATCCTTGCCTGGACACTGAGTCCTTTCCAAGGCAGAGGTGGACGCCACCTGAGGGGAAGCCACCGGACCGGTCTTGGCAAGACGCTTCCTGGTTGCTCATGGATTTCTCTTCCTTCACGCAGCTCTCCCAAGACTCCCCGGAACAGGAGGCCAGCAAGAGCCCGAGGGGAGGTGTCCCGGGGAGTGGAGAAGCCTCGCTGCCTCCCGAGGGGACCCCTCCGGTGCCGCTTCAGAGCCCCACGTCCATGGCCAGCTACGGCCAGGTGGGCAGTGGGCGGGCCTCAGGGAAGGCTCAGGCTCAGCTGGGTGGGGTGGAGTCCTGTGGGGTGTTGGGCAGATCAGCTGGGAAAGAGGGAAAGGAACAGGGAAACCCGGAGAAGAACAGGCAGAGGGAGCGAGGAACAGGGAGGGAGAGAGGGGAGAAAGGCAGAGCAGAACTTTGAGAAACGTCAGGGAAGAAATGGAGAGGAGAGTAGAAGGGAAGCCAGAAGACTGTGAGAAGGGGATGGGAACAGTATATGATTGGACATCTGAAGAAGAAACAGGATGGTGGGAGAAAGAAAGGGAACATGGCGGGGTGTTACTGAACAGCTGGAAGAGGACAGAGAGCCGGGGACCAATGAAGGCTCTGCTGGTTCCTCCCCCAGGCTGTGGCTCAGGGTTTCTTGTTCTCACAGGGCACAGGGGCTGTGGACGGTGGGGCGGTAGCTGGAGGGGCTCCGGGGAGAGACAGCGCCGAGGGTGGCCCTCCGCTCTACAGCACCAACCATGACTTCAAGTTCTCCTACTCCGAGATCAACTTCCAGGACCTGAGCTGGTCCTTCCGCAACCTCTACAAGTCCATGCTGGAGAAATCCTCCTCTTCACAGCACGGTGAGCCGGCGTTGGGGCGGGCACACGGACACCTACACTTGTGCATCCACGTCATCTATGTCTGTATCAGGTCGTTTGCAGAACGAGGACTGAACCTGGGACCTTCACGCTGAGCTATATCCCCAGCCAGGGTCTTACTGCATTGCCCTATCTGGCCTCAAGCTTGTGATCTTCTTCCCTCAGCCTCCCAGAAAGCTGGGATAATAGGAGTGTGCCACTGGGTCCAGCTCGTCCTTCTATTTTTGAATTAAGTGGTGACAATCTCTTCTCTTGCCTATTCCTTATTTTTTACACACCAAGTGGTTGATAGTGGCAGAGGGAACACTTCGCGAACTGAGACTGTTTGGAGTTGGGGAGCTGTTCAGGAGGCGACTGGGTAATACTAGCTTCAGAAGATGAGGTTGAGGATTGCTCCATCCACAGCCCAAGGCAGTCACTTTTGTTTGTTTTTCAGTACTGGGGCTCGAACCTAAGGCCTTGTTTCTGCCAGGAAAGTACTGTACCCCTGAGCTACATCTGTAGCCCAGGATCAGTGACATTAGGGCTTTAGGTGAGCCATTTAGAAGGTGACCACAAGGGGGCAGCAGTAGTACCCTCTACCCAAGAACTGTTTCTCTAGAGCAACTTATTTTCGAATTTCTATTTGTTACTTTTGTTTTGTTTTGTTTTGTTTTTTGAGACAGAGTCCTGCTATACAGTTCAGGCTGGCCTTGAACTCACTATGTAGTCCAGGCTGGCCTTGAACTTGTGGCAATCCTCCTGCCTCAGCCTTCCAAGTGCTGGGATTACAGGCATGTGCCACCATGCCTGGCTCTGTTACTTTTTACTATAAAAAATTTCAAATAGATCCCAAAATAGAGCAAAAAATGAAATAAACTCCTGTGTTTCCATTACTTAGCAGTTACCAACATTTTAAAAATGTTTTATTTACTGCCCAATTTTTTGGAAAAAAATGTAAATTTTTAAATGTGTAATTTCATGTGGTTCTCAGACATTGTATCATTCGCCCATAAATATAATTCTTTTTTTTTTTCTTATAGTGCTGGAGATTGAACCTAGAGCCTCACTCATGCTAGGAAAACACTCTACCATCAGCTGTATTCCCAGATCTTCAAAACCTTTTTTTGAGAGAGGGCTAGGTTGCCCAAGCTGTTTTCAAATTTGAGATCTGCCTGCCTCAGCCTCCCACGTAGTGGGATTACAGATTTACACCAGTATGCACTGTTAAATGATACATTGCCTTTAGTTATCGACCATGTCATTATCACTCCTAATGCAATTAATAATGTGGATGGCTAATATCCATTTGGAAATTTCGATAATTATCATTTAAAAATGACTTAAAAGAGACTGTTTGATTTGGCTTTCTGCAATCTCTGCACTACTGACTAATTGGTCGTGGTACTGGGTATTGAGCCCAGGGTCTCCACACTGACCTATACCCTTAGCCCTTTCTTATTTTGAGACAAGGTCTTGCTAAGTTGCCCAGCCTGGGCTCGAGTTTGTGATCCTCCTGCCTCAGCCTCCAAGAGTGCTGGGATTATGGGTGTACATCACCACTATACTTTTTTGTTTGTTTTTTTGAGACAGGGTGTTGCTTTGTAGTTCAGGCTGGCCTTGAACTCTCAGCAATCCTTCTGCCTCAGCCTCCACAGTGCTACCACTATACTATTTAAAAAAGAAATTAGAGCTGGGGATTTAGCTCAGTGGTTCTGCTGCCTGCCTCGCAAGTGCAAGATCCTGAGTTCGATCCCTGGTACCAAAAAAATAAAAATTAAAAAAAAAAAAAAATAAAAAAGAAATTAGAGGCAGTGGTGAGGGTCACGGTTCAAGTGTGTCTCTGGCTCTTCTCGTTCTATGCAGTGGCCCCTTGTGAGCAGCAGTTGCTGAACAGAATGATAAAAATTGTTTGGAAGCCACTTTTGGAAAACATTAATTGTCATGTATGTATGTATTTTGTTTTTAGAGACAGGGTGTCATGTAGTCCAGGCTGGCCCTGAACTTACCCTGGAGCCTAGGTTGGCCTTGAGTATGTGGTGATCCTCCTGCCTCAGTTTCCCAAGTGCTGGGATTACAGGGAGTTTCCTTTTTTAAATCTGAGGAGATCCCTATCTAGAGAGTATTCCAAGATTGTTGCAATAGCTTGTGAAGTTAATACAACTGTGATTGGTTGATTGGAGGTGGAGAATCAGAGAAGATTGTTAAAAAGTAATTTTAGGTTGAGTGAGAAACTAAGTGCTCATTTAAGTTTAATTATGATAGAAAGTCCCTAGGTCTTCCCTCCTTAGTCTGCTTGAGAAATTAATCCTTCTCTACTCTGCTTCTCACCCAGACTCCATTTGTTGGTAAAAGAAGAATACAGAAGGCAGTAACAGTAGAGGACTGTGGAGACAGTGAGGAAGAGGAGAGAGTAGATGTACTGTGGCTTTGTTCTCTTTCTCTCTCCCTCTTCCCCTAATCTATATTAACTGGTGCTGGGGATGGAACACAGGACTTTGAGGTTGCTAGGCAAGCACTCTCCTACTAAACTATGTCCCCAAACCAGCTTTGTTTTATTTATAATTTATTTTTCACTTGCTGTCTGATTTCTTCTGAAGCTGTGATTCCAGGCCTACACTCAAATTCCTCAAAAGTAGCATAGAAAGGTGTGCGGTTTTTATTAAAGTTCAGAGGTCACCACAGTGTCAAGGCCCTCTGTAACCTGCTTTCCAATTTGCTGTCTCCCGGGAAGGCCGTAGGGATCCCCATGGCCCCAGAACACTTACCCTTTTTTTTCCCACAGCTGCCGTCTGAGGTTTCCCATCTCAACCCAGGCAAAGTCGCACTGAGTGAAACACGCCTGGCCTAAGTCGTTGTCTCCTTCCTCCTGGCCCGCAGGCTTCTCGTCTCTCCTGGGCGACATGCCGCCCTCAAACAACTACTACATGTACCAGCAGCAGCCGCCGCCACCTCAGCAGCAGCAGCCGCCGCCACCGCAGCCACCTGCCCAGCAGTCACAGGCGCCGCAGCAGGCACCACCCCAAGGCCCCTCAAGTGTCGGGGGCGCCCCGGCCCTGCACACCCCAAGCCCTGACAGCTGCACCCCACCAGGGGGGAAGCCTGCGGGGGCCGACGGCTACGGGCCGCCCCCAGTGATGGCCATGCATGCAGCCCCACTGCAGCACAGCGCCTACCACCCTCACCAGCACCACGCCCACCCGCACCCCACCCAGCCGCCGCCCCAGCAGCAGCCACAGGCACAGGGCCAGGCGCCCATCAATAGTCCTGGCTTCGGTGAGTGTGGGGAACTCACCGGAAGAAGTGAAGGAGGGTGAAGGAGCCTCGTTCTCCCTGCACTCAGAGGTGAACCGGGCCGGAAGTTCATGGCGGGGCTTCCGGCCTCTGACCCCAAGAGCTCATCTGGAGGCTCAGCGGGCCGGATGTTCACGGCGGGACTTCCGGCTAGTGTCCCTGAGAGCTCGTCTCAGTTTGAGCCAGTGCTCCCTAGAAGTGTATATTGTAGAAGGTTTGGGGATTGAGGGTCTCTGTTTTCCCACCATATTCGTGGGTAAATTAGGATCGTTTTGCATCTTCTCCTATGAGCTGGGCTGCACCTAAAGCATAGATAGCTGTATGAATTGTAACTCCAAGGGGAGAGTGTGAAGCTGCCCTGGCCGATAACGTGTGCTGCAGGAACCACGCACACAGTTTCAGTGTCGGTCTAACGCTTTCCTCTTGCAGCCTTTCCTCCTGACTGGTGCTCCAATATTGACTCCTTAAAGGAGAGCTTCAAGATGGTGAATCGGCTCAACTGGTCCAGCATCGAACAGTCACAGTTCTCAGGTTAGAGCTTAAAGCACGATGTCCAGAGGGAAACATACTGAGTGAGAAAACCTAGCACGTTGAGGATTTCATTATTTACCCTCCCATTGCACAAGATGCATCATATGGATCTCATTTTTCCAATTAATTTTACCTTAACTCAAAGTATGGCAGTTTATTCTTGGTTTTGTCTTTGGGAGAGGGAAGGCTCCTGGGACTTTAGAAACCCTAGACCACTGCTCTGTAGTTCAGTCACTGTGTGCTGACAGTGTGCCCATAACAAATTCAGTCAGTCACTCTGAAAGGTATTTTAGTCATCAGTAAGATGGAAATCATAGTAAGAATCTGCTAAGGAGCAAGCAGAATAAGAGTTTGAATCTGGCGCCCTGGCAGGTGTAAATGCTACTGTATACACACACTGCCTGAGGTGTGGACTTCTGCTGTGGCTTGGCAGACAGGGGTGGGTCACCTGGGCCTGTTGCACCTCTGTGAGCTCAGCCTTGCTCCCATCCTGTTTGCAGAGCTGATGGAGAGTCTGCGACAGGCTGAGCAGAAGAACTGGACCCTCGACCAGCATCACATCGCCAACCTGTGTGACTCCCTCAACCACTTCCTCACTCAGACGGGTCACATTCCCCCGCAGGGCACCTCCCACCGGTCACCAGCCCCCACCCGAATCTCAGACTCCTGTGCCCTCACCAGCAGCAAACAGGAGCCAGCGATGAACCAAGGTACTGCACCAAGCTCATTGCCACGGAGGTGGGGACTGTGTGGAAGTGAAGGGTGGGAACAGTGGAAGAGAATCCGGAGAAAACATTTATGTACAGTGACCCAAACTGAGCCGTGGGACTGGTTTGTTTGATTTTTGAGACAGGCTCTGGCTTGTAGTTCAGGCTGGCCTCGAACTCTCAGCTATCCTCCTGCCTCAGGCTCCCGAGTTCTGTGATTACAGTTGTATGTCACCGTGCCTGGCTCTGAGATTGTTTGTTAGCTGCATTGACTGAAAAGTTACCCTGAAACATGCAAAAGAAATAGACCTCGGTCTAGGAGTTCAGGCCTTGATCTGAGTGGTCAGAATTACTTGAGGAAATGGAGGACATGTTTTAGAAGCCCCAACCTTTACCTGGATCCCATCAGGTGTATTGGACTAGTGGAAAGAGACTCGCTTGTGTGCCTGTATTTGTCATGCTTGTAGTTTTGATAGTTCACAGTTCTGGGCCTATGCCTTTTTATCCTACACAGTGAGGGTGGCAGCATTTGCAGAACTCCTTTATGCCTACAGGAGTTTTAGAACAAGGGTGGGAAGGGAGCAGGAGGTTGGAGAGAGGAAGGGTGCACACCCCATTCCCCCTGTTGAGTACGATGACCCCACTCAGTGACTCTTGTCTTGCTTTGGCAGTGAACTCCTATGGGCACCCACAAGCCTCCCACCTCTACCCTGGCCCATCACCAATGTACCCCATCCCCACCCAGGACTCAGCAGCATACAATCGCCCAGGTGAGAGCCCAGAAGTAGACTTCACCCCAGACACACAGTCTCTTCCCTGAAGAGTCGTTTTGCTTTCTTCTGCTCTCAGCCTTCTCTCTCTGCCCTTTTGCCTGACCCTACCTGGATGGGTTGAGCTATCAGGATTCCCAAGGCTGGAGGAGGGGATGGGTTACTCACTACTGAGTTATATGTTTCATTCATTCATTCATATTTGGTGGCGCAGGACTTAGACCCAGGGCCTCACACATGCTAGGCAAGTGCTGTACAACTGAACCACACCTCCAACCCTAGATTTACTGTACAATTTGATTGTAATAGCAATAATGAAAGGAAGTAAAAGTATAAATGTAAACTGAAAATAGTCATTTGTGACATTTATGTATAGCTTTCAAATCTAGATAGAAGATACACGTACTCAGGCAAATAAAAATGAATTTCTGTCTCTTGACTGCTAGTGTCAGGGGCTTGGGATTGAACCGTCTTTTTTTTTTTTGGTACCAGGGATTGAACTCAGGACCTTGCGCTTGAGAAGCAGGCGGTGGCACCACTGAGCTAAAAACCTGGCCCCTTCGTCTTTTTTTTTTTCTTTAAAAAAAACCAAACATTTTGTGGTGCTGGGGATAGATTCCAGGGCCTCAGGCATTGTGCTACATGCCCAGCCCGGGGCTGAACTGTCTTTGATAGTAGGGGTTGGGTGGGGGAAGAAACACTGAATAGTCATAGTAAAAAATTTATGGAGCCTTCACATTTAAATACATTTAGAGGGCCGGGGATTTAGCTCAGTGGTTCCGGTGCCTGCCTCACAAGCGCAAGGTCCCAAGTTCGATCCCCAGTACCAAAAAAAATAAATAAGTAAATAAATAAATACATTTAGAAAAGTCACTACTGTTATCCTATCTGACCACAAGTATTTTCCACTTTTTGGATAACATCTGATTTTTTTTGTCCATGTAATGTAAATGCATGTTTCTATACTGCTGTTTCATAAAAAATTACATTCTTTTTTTTGGTACTGGGGATCGAACTTGGGTCCTTGGGTTTGCGCAGCAGGTGGCGAAACTACTGAGCTAAATCCCTGGCCCATACATTCTTATATTTTATCATTATGACATAGTCTTCATCAGTGGAGTGTGTTTGTTTATTTATTTGCAGCACTGGGGATTGAACCCGGGGCCTTCATACTGAGCTACATCCCCAGCCCTTTTAAAATTTTTTATTTATTTTTTTACTGTTTATGTGTTTTGGTTTTTTTGTGTGTTTTTTTGGTACTGGGGATCAAACTCGGGACTTTGCGCTTGCGAGGCAGGCGCCAGAACCACTGAGCTAAATCCCCGGCCCACTGTTTATGTGTTTTTGAGACAGGGTCTCACTATGTACTTCAAGCTGGCCTCGAACTCACTATGTAGCCCATGCTGGCCTTGAACTCAAGGTGATCTTCCTGCCTCAGTCTTCCGAGTGCTGGGATTACAGGATTGAGCACTGTATCTAGATTGATGGGCAGCTTCTCACCCAGTTTCCTGTACTCTTTCTTCCCAGTAGCACACCACATGGTCCCCCGGCCACCGGTCCCGCCTCCAGGTGCCAGTGAGGAGATTCCTGATGACTTCGACTGGGACTTGATCACTTAATGCATCACAAGTGTGGACATCAGCCAGGGCCTGGTGGTGAAATCTGGCCGAGAAAAGAGCGGCCCTTCCTGCCCTCCGCCTGTACATAGATATATATCCTCTTTTTGTTTTCTCTCCGTCAGAGAAGCCACTGCAAGATGCTGCCGAAGATACTCCCTCTTTCTTGTCTCATTCTTCTCTCTTCCTTTCTGTTTTTCCTTCATTCATTCTTTTATTATTATTCTAATTATATTATTATTATTATTATTATTATTACTGGTTATATACTATCCTCCATCTCCTGTCCCTGCACCATGGACCGAGTCTACGCCTTGCTAATTTAAAATCATCAGGTCGGAAGATGAGGTCATGATAGCTGTGGAGAAAGGTTGTAGTTCCGGTTCACCTTTCTCTTTGAGGAACTCGCCGCTAACCCCACCTTTCAGTGCTATGTTGTTTTCTGTTCCTGTCTGTTTCAGGCTGGGACTGGAAAAGTAACATTATCAAGTAGAAGGGATCTAAAACTGCAGATTTTACTCAATGGTGCTAATTCTGCCCTCTGAGCTTTCTTTCTTGTCCCTTTGTACCTTCAATCTTTACTTCTTTTGACAATCCTCATTCCCATGGAAGGTGAGAGTAAGATTCTAGTGGGATTGCAGCCTGGGGCGGGGGTGAGAAGCATGCTGCGGAAGTGATGGAAAGGAAGTCAGGGTGAGGTTGGGTGTGCGCTGCTGCATCATAGGGACGTCCATTGGCTCCTCCCACCCCGTTTGCTAAGGAGCCTAGGTTGGTCTTTGTTCCAGCTCTGCTTCTATGGTAGCCCAAGTGGACAATATTCACCATCAGTTCAGCTTCTTGGAGATGATTTCATTTTAACCATTTTGGCTTTTAAAAAAGAATTCCCCGAAAACTAACTGTGGCTCTTATTGGATTTACAAATCATTCTCCCTTGCCTTTCCCCATCCAGCATATGTTATTTTGTCCTCTAGTTGGCTGCCCAGATCTACTCATTATTTTCTTCCTCCATTTTCTGGAATTCTCAAGAAAGAGAAACCAAGCTACCGTCACTCTGGGTTTCATCAGGCCCCTGACGTGCTGTGGGAATCTCTTCCCACCAGACAGCAGAATTGCAGCTATGTTATGGACAGGAGGAGGCCGAGGAGGGGAGTGAGCTGGCGTAGACCATGAGTTTCATGTATTTCACTGGATAGACATGCTTCTCTTGAAATCTAGAGTGTGGGGCTTGAAGCTTTTGAGGGGTGAAGGAAATCGGGTGAAGGGGCCAAGTAATGTAGAGATGGGGTCATTGAGGGCCCGGGGGCTCCCGGAAGAAGGCATGAGGATAACACCTGTCCTCTAGCAAGCATGACCATGATTCATTGCTGTAAATTCCTAGTGTACATTTAATATTCATTGTTGAGTTTGGGTTAGGAGAGGGAAGAACAATTTTACTTCCATTTTTATTTGACTAAATTTTCCCTTTCTGCAAACTGCAGGACAAAATGTGTGGCATGAACAAGACTCTGTAATGTCTGCTTTTCTTCATCCTTTCATTTCTTCGCGATCTCTAAGCTATCAGGCTTTCTTCTCCCTTGCTCTCCCCTCATCACCCCTCTCCTTTCTTGGAAGGGGTCCTGCATGAGAGTTTGTGGAAGAAGTCCACATGGCTGAAGTAAGGGGCAAGCAGGACAGCTAACTAAAGAGCACTTTATTTCTTTGAAGCCTTTGTAAGAAAGATGGGAGGAGCGTGTGTGCAAGTGGCTTGAGTCTCCATTGTGTTGAGGGCACTTTGTGAAGTGTGACACAGTATTTCCCCCTGGGGAAGAGAGCATTTCTATGGGAGGCGGCAAAACATCCCTGTGTTAGGCAACTGTTCCTTATTCCTCCCATTCAAGGTGCATCTGACACAGGTTCCCTTTCATCTTCCTGGGATTCCTGGTTTACAGATGAACCCTCCTCTTTTCTAAACCCCTTTCCTACTCAGGTCCACACAGGGTAGGTGACATCATACACACAGGTAGCCCTTGTTCCTCTGTGTTTTTTGAAGACGAGTCTCATGAAGAGCTCTGGTGGCTGCCAGAGTAGCTGAAGTTTGGGGCTGGACCTGGAGACTGCTCTTGAGGCCCCCTAAGCTTGCAGGCCCTCTTGCCCACGTTCAGCCTTGCTAATACTGCAGGACAAACCTGACTTCCTTTCGGCCTCAGTTTCCCCTCCCCTACATGAGATGGAAAGAGTACTACTTTTTCTTGTTGGTTCAGCCTTGCTGGACACGAAGTCTTGTCATTGTTGTCGTATTGGGTGATGTGTGTGGAATTGCAGGAGCTCACTGCTTATAAGAGGAAATAAGGGAGAAAGTGAGGGACGAAGGAGTAGTTATTTGGTATCAATCCATCCATCCCAGGCTTCCTCTCCTTAACCCCGGGTTTCTGGTTTGGTGAGTCCTTCATGCCACCCATAATGCTTTGCATTGGTGTAAGCTGGGAAGGGGATATGGTCTCACGGTTGTGTTGTTTTTTTGCATGCTTTCCTAATAAAAAAAAAAAAAGAAGGTTTCCAATTTTACCTTACTTGTACTGTTCTCTTAAGTTCTTTTTCCCATGGTAGGAAAAGAGAAATGTGAAAGAATTTGGCTTCAATTGGCCTTTAGCCCCTCTCCCTCCTCCCACCACTGGGGTTAGTTAGTTGACCCTGCCTTTTTTTTTTAGATAGGGTTTCACTTTATAGTTCAGACTGGCCTTGAACTCACTGTGTAGCCCAGGCTGACCTTGAACTCATGGTGATCCTCCTGCCCCAGCCTCCCAAGTGCTGGGATCACAGGTGTGCGCCACTATGCCAGGCCTGACTTTTCTGTGTGGTAAGATTAATGATAAGAACTAGCATGTGCTTTTAACCTTACTCGTCTCAAATGCTGTTAAATATAGTGAACTCTTGTTGGGAGCGTTGGTCACCCCTTACAGGTTGGCAGATGGGTAGACGCACATTGCTTGCATTCTAGGATATAGTTTAAAGATTCAAGATGCTTCATTCTGGGGAGGATTTTTGTCCCTGTCTAGGACTTCCTAGAGAAGCAAGAGTTACGGGTATTCACCAGAGTTTTTTTGGTTTTGTTTTTTTGGTTTTTTCCCCTTTTCTTCCTGGAAATGAAGTAATTCTAATTAGAGAAATTTCATCAGAACAAAATTCCAAAGTAACAAAAACGGAAAAGGAGTCCAGAAATGCCACTTGTTCATTGTACATTCAGTCTTCATGCTCGCTCATTCACCTGATAACCCTACACATTAACCCCGGTAGTTTGGGACTTATAGGCCAGGTCTTGCAGCATGTATCTGGGCTCCTAGGAGCCTGGCTGATTCCTTCTGTACCCGGTCTCCATCACTATGGGTTTACTTGCTGCATAGTCAGAGGTTATGACACATTTGGAATGTCAAAGAAAAGGATCCATGAATCTCTGAACCTTGCAAGGAGCCATAGAAAAGCGCATTTATTCACACAATTTATAAGCAAATGAAATTTATAGGTAACCCTACAAATCTTAGGCATGCCACATATTGTTACCTCACGGCCTACAGAGTTCCTTGTGATTTGAAATTTTTCTGCTCAGTACTTCACAACAGATTTGTATCCAGTCTCTCACCTTAACCATTAAACCTTGCAAATCTTAAAAATATCCCACTTTCTACTTTTTAGATTAAGTCATATTTAGCTTGTATGAGGCTATGTTGTAGTATAAGCAAGGCTGAAATTTCAAAGGGTTAACACATAAAAAGGAGAAGGTGGCAGGGCTTGGGTATTTTACGAATCGAAGCAAGTTTATTGCAACACTTTTTTTTTGGTACCGGGGATTGAACCCAGGTCCTTGCTCTTGCACAGCAGGCGGCGAAACCACTGAGCTAAATCCCCAGCCTTACAACACTGTTTACAGTAGCTAAGGGATGGACTCAGCCTAGATTCCTGTCAACAGATGAATGGAGAAAGAAAGTATGGTACATATAAACCATGGAGTAGTATTCAGCTGTACAGAATGAAATCAGGAAATTTGCAGGAAGACAAATGGGATTATGTTAAGTGAAATAAGGCAGATACTGAAAGACAAGTACTGCATATTCTCATACATGGAAGTTGAAAACTGCCAACCTCAAAGTAGAATAGTGATTACTAGAAATTGGGCCAGTAGAAGGTTGGATTTGATCAGTGTATGCTATATGCATATGTGGAAATACCACACTTGAACCAAAACCAAGATGGCCTATTAAACAATTAGCAGGCTCCCTAGCCAGTGGTTTTGATTTAGCAAATCTGGGATGGGGCTTTTGCATTTCTACCATTTTCCGGGTGATATTGATGCTTGCAGTCCAGGCCCACACTGTGAGAACAACTGGATTGATGAGTGGTTTCTGATTACCATGTCACTCTTCCTTTTGCAACTATTCACCTATGAACATCTTATGTTGGCTGCTCTGTATTTTCACACACTTGTACTGAGGCTGTGTTTTTCTGAAAAGACTTTGGTTTGGGTACAACTGGTAGACCTTGTGGGCTCCTCACTGAAGGCTGCCTCCAGAACGCTCTTCACAGACTGCTGTGCTCGTTTCCTAAAATCTTTCCCCAAGAGGGCGTAAAGGAAGGGGTTGAAGCAACTATTGGCAGATGCGAGAGCAATGGACACACAGTCCCAGGACAGCAGAGCTTCCCCAAAGGGACTGTTCAAGTCAGTAAACAATGTGAGGACTCCGAAAACATGGTACGGAGTCCAGCAGACGAGAAAGACAGTCATCACCACCATGGCCACGCTAAGGGTTTTGTTCCGAGACTTGATGATGCGAACTCGTCCCATTCGGAAGACAATGAGGGTGTAACAGGCCACCATGATAATCGTAGGCAGCAGGAAACCCACCACTAGTCTTGTGAAGGTTATTGCCATCAAATGTGTTTGCTCTTCATACATTAGTGGGTTTAAATAATCATCCTGGAAGTCTTGTGATAGCTCAGGTGTGGTTAAGCCATTGAGAGAAGCATTGGGGAACAGGTCTAAATCAGTGGAAAGAAAACGATCAGAGTTATTTAATGTGTTAGTTCTGTTCTCTTCCATGGAAAGCCCACTGAGGGTTGTGAGTGAGCCCACATCAGCAGATTTATGTTGACTAGATAATTTTGTGGAACCCATATGGAATGAATCTCCAGAAGGTCTTGGAGATGTTTGAGAATAGATAGTGGTGACTGACCAAGGATGATCATGTGTTTGGAAAGAAGGGGCCAGTCTATCTTCCATTTCTCCAGGCAGCTGGACAATGGGGTCAGGAGTCCCGTGGTCCAATGTATCTAGGTCGTAGGTGTAGTCCAGATACTCAAATGAGGTGGAACCAAAATTGTATCTACAGATAGTGTGGTTGTCTAGGGTGTATGTTTCCCGGTACACAAATACAGGTATACACATTACAAAAGCCATCAGCCAAATGCATCCACAGATAACACAGGCTGTTCTCACAGTCCGATGATTCTGGCACCAGATTGGCTTGAGTACCAGCAAGCAGCGGTCTAAGCTAATAGCAGTAAGCAGGAAAACACTGGCAAACATGTTGAGGATGATGATGGAGGGGATAAACTTGCATAGGATCTTGCCATAGGGCCAGTATCCATGGAGAGCCAAGTGAGCCACGGAGAAGGGCAAAGAGAAGCAGCAGAGGAAGTCTGCCAAGGTGAGGTGGAGAAACCAAACCGTGTTTACTGTGCGTTGCATCTTCGAACCAGCCACCCACAGCACCAGCCCATTGCCTGGCAATCCCAGTATGAAAGTGAGGCCAAGAATGGCCATGGCAAGAATTGTTTGGGGTGGATACCGCGTCTCTAAGTATAGGCCAGTCGAGTTGGTCTCAGCAGAGAAAGACTCCATGGTTAAATTTCTGCAAAAAGATAAAAGAAAATGTGACAACTGACAGTGTCTTTGTAAAAATATGTAGTCTTAGAATTTTAACTTTCCCATATAATGATGTGGCATTACAAAGGTAGAAGGCCCTAAAAATGTTTTAGTTTGTATTCCTTGACTTCATATGAGACTGCACTAAAACATTCTGATAGACAATTTAAAATTCACTGAATTAAGTTTGCATCAAAATAATAACTTCTTTTGAAAGCATATCAGAGTAAGTTTCCCATCTCTCTTATATTTACAATCTCTCATTTTCCACTGGCTCTTTTTCTCACCCAGTGTCCTCTATTGAACAAATGAGGCAGGTGTGGTGGTGCACACCTATAACTCCAGCACTCAGGAGGCTGAGGCAAGAGAATTGCCTAGAGTTCGAGGCCAGGCTGGGGCAACATAGTGAATGAACTACATAGTGAGCATGAACTACATAGTGAAACCCTGTCTCAAAAAACAAAAGAATACAAAAAATAAATGAGCTAAATGAATAAACAAAGGAGAACTAGACTGGTGCTCCCCAACCTGAGGTCATGAGAAGGCTTTAGTGAACTTCACCACCATCTAAAATAATTTTAACTTTGCATATTTTCATTTTTCTGAGGACAGAAGATATATTCCTTCTCTCCAGTGGACTTTTAAAAAAATTTTACTTATTTATTTTTGGTACCAGGGATCAAACTCAGGACCTTTTGCTTGCAAGGCAGGCAGCAGAACCACTGAGCTAAATCCCCACCCCTCTCCAGTGGACTTTTGAAGAACTCCTATACAACAAGAAGGAGTCAGGACTCAGTTGCATCCATCTTCTCTTGCTATCATGTTTCTGAAGAGCTCTTCATCTTCTTCATCAACCATCTTTATGTCTTATTTGCATTTTATAAGTATAACAAGGGAAAGATAGTGTTATTATTACAAAAACAGAAAATATACACAGAAGGAATGGGAAAATACAGACAAGCCAAAACAAGAAAATGAAAATGGCATGACCACCAGTGGTTACCACTTTAATACCTTTTTTTTTTTGTACTGGGGATCGAACTCAGGACCTTGAGCTTACAAGGCAGGTGGAGGCACCACTGAGCTAAATCTCCGCCCCCACCACTTTAACATCTTAATTTAATACCTCTATCTTTTATCAGGTATATGTGTTTTATATATATGTATATTTCCTGTTAAGCAGAATTAGATCATACCATGAATGTTTAAAAAAATTTTTAAATTGTGGTAAAACATAAAAATTACCATTTTAACCATGTTTTGGTTTGTTTTTTGAGACAGGGTCTTGTTTTGTAGTCCAGGCTGGCCTTGAACTCACTATATAGCTCAGGTTGGCCTTGAACTTGCAGTGATCCTCCTGCCTCAGCCTCCCAAGTGCTAGGCATGCAGCACCATGCCCGGCATTAATCATTTTTAAGTGTGCAGTCCAGCAGTGTTTATTACATGCATATTGTTGTGCAACTAATTTCAGAAATTTTCATCTTGCAAAATGGAAACTTTGTACTCATGAAACAATTCTTGGTTTTTTCCTCCCCACACCCCTGGGCAACTGTCATTCTATTTTCTGTTTCTATGAATTTGACAACATAGTTCACGTACATGGAATCATACAGTCTTTGTTTCCTTGTGTTTGGCTTTTTCTCACTAAGCATAATGTCCACCATGTTGGAGAATGGGCCAGGATTTCTTTCCTTTTTAAGGTTTATACTACATTTTGCTTATCCTTTCTCAGTGAATATTTAGATTGTTTCCACTTGTGGGCTGTTGTGGGATCAGTTTTTTTTTTTGCCAGGGAGTGGTGGTGGTGGTGGTGGTGGTACCAGAGATCGAACTCAGGTCATTGCGCTTGCGCGCAGGCAGCGAAACCACTGAGCTAAATCCCCAGTCCTGTGGGCTGTCGTGAACAATGTATCTTTGAAATGAGAGTTGCATATTTTATTTTTTTTCTTTCTGTTTTCTATCAGTAGGCTGTCATTACACAACAAGAGGGTTCCTCCAGGAATTCTCAGTCTTCATCCAATTATCTCCCAACTTCCCCCCAATATCTTTTACAACTGATCTGTCCCCTGTGGTATCCAATCTAGGGTGCTGTGTCTCTTACATTTCTTTTCCCTTTCTTCTTAGTATATGTTGTGATCACAGCAATCACATTCATCTGGGGGAATTGGTACAGCACATATCGCATCTCGATTGTGTTTGTTCCCCTTCCCCATCCCTACCCCGTCTACTCCCTACTTCCTCAGGTCCCCTCCCAGCTCCACAGAGTCCACCTCCCTTTTCCAACCGTCACTCTTTTATTTTGCTCTTTACATTATTTCTATTTTGGGTTGCTCCTATTAGTGAAATCATAAACATTTAACCTTCTGTATCTGACATTTAATTTCTGGTCTCAAGATCCATCCATCAGGTGCCTTAATTTAACATAGCTTTTCCTTTACAGGAAAGTTAGCTTCTTTTGGAGCATGTTGTTCTGACTACTTGCTTCTTACCCTTTGTCGTTTGTCTTCTGTCCCCATTGCTCTGCTAAAATTTCTTCTGGAAAACAAATCCAGAACTCTTTCTTTGTGGCTTCATCCTTCACAATATAAGGCGTGCCATTTGATACACTGAGTCCCTAACAGGCTGCTCTCTGGGCTCTGTGACATTTCCTTCCTCTAACTCCAGACTCTCCCACTTCCCTGAAATGCTCCGTAAAGGCATCTTCTGCTCCTTGGCGAGTTACCTCTATCAGAACTCTTCCCTTCATTTGAGCTTCTTTTTTCCACACTTAATCTATAACTGTTGAAATTCAACTTGTTCTTCAAGATGAAACTCAAATATTACACCTTCCTTGAAATATTCTCTTATAACTCTACTCAGAAATTATTTCTTCAGCTTAAGTGTGTTTGAGTCTTTCCCCCCATATTTGCTATGCAGTAGCACATTTTGTCTTGTATTATAATGAAATTATCACTGTGACTGTTTTATCTATTATTCCACCTTAAATTTCATGATAGTAAAAATGAGTCTTGTTCATAAATGATCATTTCACAGAATTTAACACACTGCCCTAGATGACATAAAGGCTAAAGAATACGTGAATGGAGGAATGCTCACTTTTGAGGTTGACTATTTTCAACTCAATTTAAGATTCCAGTTGCTCCCAATGTAACCCTTACCCAGCCTGGCCTGATTCTTTAATTCCATTGCTGTCCCTTTTAACTTCCCTTTTAAGTTCCCAGTTCTTAATGATACAGGAGCACTCTCTTTTTATAGAGGCCCAAAATGTTTGAAAATAGTTCTGCTGAGTTAAACAGATGTTGTCACAGGGTCTCACACGATTAGCAGAAGTTAAAATAGCAAGTCAACAAAAATGAAAAAGGAGAAATGATTCTTTTTCTCTTTCCTTTTTCTGCTTCTACTCAAACATTCAAGTCCTGACAGGTCCCTTTTATCCCCCCGCAGTGAATGGTAGCTACCCTGATCCATGGTCCCATTCCAACACCCAGATTCATGCAGAGCCATACAATATTGAGAAAGATAGCCACATAGACTGCTATGTCTGAAAGGAAACAGTTTGTAATCTTAGCACTTTGGAAGGCTGAGGAAGGAGGATCACAAATTCCAGCCCAGCCTGGGCAACTTAGTGAAAGGTTGTCTCAAAAAAAAGGGCTGGGGTTGTACCCCACTTCAAGAACCCTGGGTTCAACCTCCAGTGCTGCAAAACAAACAAAAAAAACATAATCATCTCAGTTCTCACTGCTTTTACTTTTCAGTTTTTAATATCGAAGCTCAGTAAATTAGACTTTTATAAAATCACCACTACAGAGATTAAGATACTAAGTCCAATGAATATCAAGCTAATACTCTTTTTACTGGAAAGATCAGATAATGGAAAAACCTATAGCATTGCTAACAAAGGGTACTGTCCAAATTGAAATAACAAAGGCCGAAAAGAACAAAATTCTGATATGAGAGAAATGAAATTAGCTGTCATGAACTGTATTTTTAAATATTGATATTATTTGTTTAAAAATGAAAAAAAATATAAGTCAGGAGTTACAAATCCTTCAGTACAAGATCACTTTATATTTCTCCAAGTTTGGGCTGAAAAATACTTCTATGTTTGAAGATTAGTAGACACTTAAAAAAAAAAGACTTCAATACTAATTGGCCAGCTCTAATTAAAAAGATAAATAAAATTAAAACTAAAATTCATTTATGATAAGCAATAAAAAAGAAAAAAAGACTGCAGCATTGAGTAATAGGATGATGAAAGCAATAGCAAAAAGAAATGGGCCAAAGAACCAAAGAAGGAAAAGAAGAAGTAGAATGGGAATTTATATATGTGTATGAGTGTACGCAATCAGTGATTTGAAAATCAAAACTAATGAGGGAAAGCTAAAACCAAGGAAAAGAAGGGTAAGCATTGCCACTTTAAGAGAAGGGGAAAATGACATGAAGTTCATTATCATTTCCATAATGAAGATATTAAAAGCAAACACAATTAGGTCAAAGCTTTAGAACTGGAAAGGTGAACATAAGGATAAGAAAAGAGAGCTAAAAGTTGGGTACAGAACTGGAGAAATAGGAGATAATGACCCTGCACATTTTATCTATAATGAGCAAAGTGGGCTAAGGACAAGTTACCAGGTCAGTTTAAGTTTTCTTACCAAAAAGTGGAGATACTTGTGAAGGCTCGCGCAGCAATCTGTGTTCTCCACAGAGCCCTCCGGTCCCGCACTTAGCCACAGTGAAGGCACATAGTATCTCTGGGCAACTTGCTTAGTTCTCTGTTTCTCTCTTTCCTAAAGTAAGCCTCATGACCTCCACCACTATCTGATCTCAGAGGGAGAAGTTCTAAGTGACTCATTTCTAAATCATTTCTGTAGATAAGAAAAGCAGAACAGAAGTGGAAGAGTTTTCTCCAAGATGTTTTCTGGAGGACAGCACAGTTAGATTTAGGTGACAGTATTTCTGTGATAAGCTTCTCATCGCATAGGTTTTACTTTAGTTTTAGAAGGACGCACAAAGAAAATAACACTATGAGATGAAAAGGTTGTCATGAGGAGAGACTGGGGTAAAAAAAAGACCCATTTAATTAATCTCATATAATGTTTCTTAACTGTTTTTATTTTGAGATAGGGTCTCACTTTGTTCAGGCTGGCCTTGAATTTACAATGATCCTCCTGCCTCAGCCTCCTGAGTGCTGGGATTAGAGGTGTGTACCAACTACCACACCTGGTTTAATGTTTGATATGTGTAAAAAACACATATGCCATACCAAAACCAGGATGAATAAACAATCAAATGGGAATATGTGTGCACACACGCACACAGAGTATAGTAATAGAAATAACAATAGTAGTAAAATAACATAATGTAATAGAGGTAGGGCCATGTTTACCTTGGGCAATCTGGGGAAAGCTTTATGGTGGAAATGAGATATAAGCAAGTCCTCCAGTGTCTCCAGGGCTCATTGAGGCAGAAGGTGAGGAATTGCTGAGCCTGTTTGTAGATCCTGGCTGCAGGCATCAGGAGGAGGGTGGAGTGTGTAGAGGCCTTGGATTCCTGCAGGGTTCAAAGGTTGTGGATCATCAAAAGAAGAAACAAGACTGAAGATGATTCCTGCTTACAGGATGCCTTGTACAGATTTCTCACTCAAATCATTTCTTCACATATATGCAGATGAAATAAAGCTTATTTGGTTAAATGTCTTTGAAGTCTGTTGTCTGTTCATAGTAAATCGAACTTGTCCCAACAATCATGTTGGCTCCTCTGGTATTATGGCTCATGTCTAGTGGTCCCCCCAAAGCCTCATGCAGTCATAGCTGGGGCCTTTTCAGAGGTGGCTGGATCAGGGTGTGTGATGCTGGGATTAAGGATGTGTGATTACTAAATCAGTCCACTGATTGGTTTGGCACCGCCCTAAACCCAGTAGCCTGCATACAATATAAGGGACAGAAAGAAGCTGCTAAAGTCACTTGGACTTGCTTTTTTGCTTGCCTGCTTTTGCTGCCTTCTGCCTGCCATGAACTGTTTCTCTCCTGCGATGCCCCTCAGCCATGCAACGCTGCCTGGAGTTAGCCAACTATGAACCATAAGCTAAATAAACCATTCCTCCTTTAACTTTGGATATCAGGTATTTTGTCTCAGCAATGAGAAAAAGTAACTAAAACATCTTGTTTGCTGTCAAATTCTGCATTGTGAAATATTTCTCAGGCAGGAAGACCTAAGAAAATGCCAAGAGTTGGACAGTGTTTATAGAGTTTTTCTATTGTTATTATTGTTATTATCTATTAAATACAGATAATAATACAGACATAAAAAAATACAAAAGTGTAAAGAGGTAAGAAAAATTAAATTTTTTTTTTTGGTACCAGGGATTGAATTCAGGTCCTTGGGCTTGCAAGGCAGGCAGCAGAACCACTGAGCTAAATCCCTGGCCCAAAAATTTAAATTTTTTTTTTTTTAATGGTGAAAATAATGTGTATTTAGAATTAGCCAGCTGGACTCAGTTTAGATGATCCCAATTTTGTTGGCAACATCCAAAGCATCATAATCAGGAGCCAGTGGAACATACGCCTTCTTCTCTCCATCAGGCCTGATTAGGGTATTGACCTTGGCCTCATCAATGTCATAGAGCTTTTCTTCACAGCTTGTTTGATCTGGTGCTTCTTGGTCTTGACATCCACAATGAATATGAGTGTGTTGTTGTCCTCTATCTTCTTCATGGCTGACTCTGTGGTCAGGGGGAACTTGACGATGGCATAGTGGTCAAGCTTGTTTCTCCTGGGGGCGCTTTTCCGAGGGTATTTCGGCTGTCGCCGGAGCCGCAGTGTCTTGGGACGGCAGAAGGTGGGTGACGTGCGGATTTTCTTCTTTTTGTGGCTGTGGATGCCTTTCAGCACTGCTTTCTTGGCTTTCAAAACTTTTGCTTTGGCTTCAGCTTTGGGAGGGGCAGGAGCTTCCTTCTTTGCCTTTGGCGCCATCTTGGTAAAAAGGGAAAAATTTAAATTTTTTTCATGACCAAGTAGGCTTTATCCAGGGATGTAAGGATAGTTCAACATACACAAATCAGTAAATGTTATTTATCACAGAGATAGAAACAAGGACACAAACCACATGATCATCTCAATAGATGAAGAAAAAGCCTTTGACAGAATCCAACACCCATTCACGATAAAAACCCTGAAGGAAATAGGTATAGAAGGTCTTTATTTCAACATGATAAAAGCCATTTATGATCAACATACTGCCATCATCATATTAAAAGGGGAAAAGCTGAAACCTTTCCCTCTAAAAACAGGAACATGACAAGGATGTACACTATCACCACTCCTGTTTAACACAGTCCTCACAAGGTTAGCCAGAGCAGGGCTGGGGATTTAGCTCAGTGGTTTCGCCTCCTGCTGTGCAAGCACAAGGACTGGAGTTCGATCCCCCATACCAAAAAAAAGAGTATGAAAATTTTATTGGGCTGGGGATTTAGCTCAGTGGTTCCAGTGCCTGCCAGCGCAAGCCCAAGGTCCCGAGTTCAATCCCCAGTACCAAAAACAAACAAACAAACAACAACAAGGTTAGCCAGAGCAATCAGGCAAGAGAAAGAATTGAAAGAGATATGAATAGGAAAGACAAAGTCAAAATACCACTATTTGCAGATGACATGAGCCTTTACTTGCAAGACCCATGAAACTCCACCAAAAGATTCCTAGAATTGATAACCAACTTCAGCAATGCAGCAGGATACAAAAGAAACACACAAAAATCAGTAACATTTCTGTACACTAATAATGAACTCACTGAAAAAGCAATTAGGACAACAATACCTTTCACAATAACATCAAAAAAAATTAAATACTTACATATTAACCTAACCAAAAGACCTCTACAATGAAAATTACATGACTCTGAAAAAGGAAATCCAGGAAGATATCAGAAAATGGAAAGATATCCTCTGTTCCTGGCTAGGAGAACCAACATAATTTAAATGGCTCTACTTCCAAAACTGATATACAGATTTAATGTAGTCTCAATCAAAACAACAAAGTCAATCCTCACAGAAGTAAAGAACACAATCCTAAAATTTATCTGGAATCAAAAAGAAACAGAAGAAGAAAAAAATTTATATGGAATCAGAAGAGACCCAGAATAGCAAAGCAATCTTGAGTAGTAAAAGCAAAGCAGATGCCATCTCAATGCCAGATTTCAAGTTATATTATAAAGCTACAGTGATTAAAACTGGCCCCAAAATAGGCATGAGCGTATGGGTCAGTGGAGCAGAACAGACCTCAGGCACACACAGCTATTTGCTCTTAGACAAAGGAGCCAAACGTATACACGTGGAGGAAAGACAGCCTCTTTAATAAATGGTGCTGGGAAAACTGGATACTCATATGCAGGAGAATGAATCTAGACCCGTTTATTTCACCATGGACTAAAATAAAAGAAAAATGGATCAAAGATTTAAATGTTAAAATAGAATCACTTAATTTTCTGGAAAATGAAGTAGGCACAACTCTTGAAGATATAGGTGTAGGCAAGGACTTTCTGAACAGAACCCCACTGGCACAAGAAATGATACAAAGCCAGTGTGGTAGTGTATGCCTGTAATCCCAGGACTTGGGAGGCCGAGGCAGGAGGATTGCCTTGAGTTTGAGGCCAGCATGGACTACATGGTGAGACCCTATCTCAAACAAAAAACAAAAAACCAAACAAAACAAAGCAAAACAAAACAAAACAAAAAACCCCAAAAAACAAAAAAAGAAAGGAAGAAAGACATAATACCGAGAATCAACAAATGGTATCATATCAAATTAAAAAGTTTCTACATAGCAAAGGAAACAACCAGTGGTGTGAAGAGACGACCTACAGAACAGAAAAACAATTTTTGCCAGCTGCACCTTGGGAAAAGGACTAACAACAAGAATACATAGAAACTCAAAAAACTAGATCCTCCAAAATAAAAGCCTCAATTAAAAAATGGGCATCTGAAAGGAATAGACACTTGTCAGAAGAAGAAGAAATGGGCAATAAATACATGAAAAAATCCTCAACGTTGCTGGCCATCAGAGACATGCAAACTAAAACTACATTGAGATTCCCTCCTACCCCAAAAAGAATGGCTATCATCAAAAAATCTAAGAATAACAAATACCGGTGAAGATGTGGAAGAAAAGGAACCCTTCCATATTGTTGGTGGGAATGTAAACTAGTCCAACCACTATGGAAATCAGGGTAGAGATTCCTCAAAATATTAAAAATAGAAATTCCATTTGACCCAGCTATCCTTCGGCTAAGTATTTTCTCCAAAGAATTAAAATCATTTTACAGGGATACATGATCTTGGAAACAGATGTTCATCAACAGATGGACAAGGAATGGATAAGAAGAATGGGGTATTTATACACAATGGAGAACTACACTGCTATAAAGAAAGAAACTTGAGGCATTTGTAGGAAAATTGATGTAACTTGAGAACACAATGTTAAATGAAATAAGCCAGGCACAAAAGCTCAAATATTGTATGCTTTCTCTTGTATGAGGAACAAAATACATATATATATATATATACAAATAAAGAGCAAAATAGAAGAGAGATAAATAGGAAGCAGAGAGAAGTTCAAATACTTTGGCAAATTACATATTTCATTGTTTAAAAAATATTTAATATACATGCTAATTTGTTCATTTATACTATTAGTTTATCTTAGGTTGTGGAAGAGTTTTGTATTATTAGCCATTTTTTCTAAGAATCTCTTTGGTTATGTCTTGTACTCTGAGTAACTACTTTGAAGACAATAATACACAGCATATTAACTATTGTTATTCTCTTATTATCTGGTTATGAAATTTTGTTTTGCTTTTTCATAAAATAAAAATTTGAAGTTTTCACTTTCCATTCCACTGCCAGAAATAGCATTTTAGTGGGTTAATGTTCATTCTTCTGGGATTAAAAAAATAGAGCCTACATTTTTTTAAAAAAAGCATAGTTTTGAATAAAAATGGGACTACACATTGCTACATGCTAAGCAAGTGCCCTACCACTGAGCTATGTGCATCGCCCCAGGAAACAAATTCTTGAAGACATCTTGTAGTAGTGCTCCTTTTTTTGGAGCATTCCTCTCACTTTTAGGAAGTGCTAGCTGGATTGTGGTATAAAATGGGATAACTGGGGAATTTATGTGGTTCATTTCTGTTTTGAATATCCAAATATACATTTCTAAGCAGAGACCAGATGTTTTGATAAAAAAAAATTGGAATATATATTTTATTTTATTTTTATTTTTTATTTTTTTGGTACTGGGGATCGAACTCGGGACCTTGAGCTTTCGAGGCAGGCACCAGAATCACTGAGCTAAATCCCAGGCCCTGGAATATATATTTTAAAGACAGCCATATATATGCAATTTTTTTCCCTGTACTGGGTACCAAATTCAGGACCTTGCGCTTGCAAGGTAGGTGTGGTGCCACTGAGCTAAATCCACAGCCCTAAAGATAGCCATGTTAAAACCTTTCATGAGTCACTGATTACTTCAACATTGCCAATGATAAAGATCTGTATGAAATAAAAATTGAATAAAAATTAATGTAAAAAATTTAGAATCAGTATCTCTAGGCTGTTTTGTCTGAGAATAATT